ACATAAAGGTTTAAAAAAATGTTTGTATTTGGATTACAGGGTAGTTGTGCAAGAGCTATATGTTGTCACATTCTAAATATCATTATGGTCGTTCTATAGATTTGGTATAGGGTAAGATTGGTGGTAACCCTAAAGTAGGGGTAGGACTGGTCCGATTTTGCTTATTTTAGCAAAATGAAAGAGAGCTAATTGCTATATATTGTAAAAGCTTCCTTTTGATGGGGAGACACACCCAGGACAGATCGGCAATGAAATTTGGTGCTAAAGGGGTCAGGTGTGTGCGATAGCAAGACTGGTTCTCTTTAAGCCATCCCACTAACCTCTTGAGTATATCTGGTTTAAATTTTTTTTTTTTTTTCCCTTTTAATTTACAAAATGCAAAGTTGGTGAACCAAATAATCTAAAATCAATATTTAGCATTACTACTCATTGTCTTCAAATTGGCATCAGTTGCTCTATGTACACAGTGCTTTTGCACAGTTTTTGAGGGAATTTGGTAGCTCCAAACATCTTGGAGAATTAACCAGAGACCTTCTGTCCCATGTAATCCCAGACAGACTCCATGATGTTGAGATCAGGCCTCTGTGGGGGCCAAACCTTCACTTCCAGGACTCCTTGTTCTTAATGACATTGGACCTATGTTTGGGGTCATTGTCCTGCCAAATAAATTTGGGGCCAATCACACCTCCCTGATGGTATGGCATGATGGACAGGTATGTATGTTGAGGACTGTGGACGCAGTGGTCAGCCAAGGAAACGTAATGCCACATATGAAAGACGCCTCATATTTACTTCCCTTCAACATCGGAAGATGTCCAGCACTGCCATTGGCACAGAACTGGCAGAAACTAGTAGGACCCAGGTACACACATCTATCTACTATCCAGAGATGTCTGGCCAGAAGTAGTCTTTGTGGATGCATTGTGGCCAAAAATCCATACCTCCTTTTGTAGAAACAAGGCTAAGTACTCAACTATGCATGAAAACCTAGAAAATGGGGAGAGTCTGGAGACAACAGTGAAGCATAGTGGCTGTTTCTTGCAAGTTTAGGGCTGCATTTCTGCAAATGGATTGGAGATTTGGTCAGGATTAATGATGACTTCAATGCTGAGAAATATAGGCAGATACTTCTCCATCATGCCATACCATCAGGGAGATGTGATTGGCCCCAAATTTTATTCTGCAGTAGAACAGACCCCAAACATACAGCCAATGTCTTAAGAACTATCTTCACTGTAAGGAACAAAGAGTCCTGGAAGTGATGATGGTTTGGTCACAACAGAGCCCTGATCTCAACATCATGGAGTCTGTCTATGATTGCATGAAGAGACGGAAGACTTTGAGGAAACCTACATCCACTGAGGATCTGTGGTTATTTCTCAAAGATGTTTGGAACAACTGACCTGCCGAGTTCCTTCAAAAACTGTTTGCAAGTGTACCTAGAAGAAATGATGCTGTTTTGAAGGCAAACGGTGGTCACACCAAATATAAATTGGATTTGGATTTCTCTTTTGTTCATTTACTTTTTTGTTGATAAAAATAAACTATTAACACATCTATTTCTGAAAGCATTCTTAATATTTGCAGCATTTTTTACAACTGCTGTACTGTAAATCTGTGTACACATTGCAGTCAGGAGTATGTAATGTACAATGTAGCCTACAGAATGCAGAGATGAGATGTTGAACTGCACAAGATGCAGAGTACAAAGTTCAGCAGTATGCCACATAGTCCCACCTGTTTGGTCTGTGGTCAAGGAAAAAGCTTTGTGTTCCCAGTCAGGGGGAGCAACAAAGACCTTGGTAGTCCGAAGATAGAAAAATTACTGGTCAGTCAGGAAAGCATTCCCCATACTCTGGAAGAGTAAGAATCCCACTTTCACGGCACTGGTGGTCCATAAGGAACATTTCCCCCACCACTTTCTAGGCATTGGTGGTTTGTAGATTGACCCCACTACCCTCTTCCTGAAACTCTGTCAGTCAGCAGAGACCTGTTCCTGCCAGGGCATTGCATTAATGCATGTTATAAATTGGTGCACTGTGGTGCCATTTACAGTGAATGGGATTCCCCAATGCATGAAACGTGTGTTTTGTGTGGTGGTGATTGTGTTTTTTACAGGAGTAGGGAAGGATTACTGCTGTGTTTGGACTAGGAGAATTTTTTTTTTTTCTTGCTTCCTTTTACAGTAATAGGCTTTATACTTTTTACAGGAAAGAACATAACTATATTCAGAGTCATGAGGCCTATTCCGTGTCAGAGAAAGGACTGTAGAACTGTTCTTTTGGAGAATAAGTACAGACTTGTACACACATTGCTTGGACATTGATCCACCTGTCCCAACCGGCTTTGTTCTGGCTGAGCATATGAAGCCCCCTTCCTGTTCAGGCTATTTCACAGTATACAGTACTGTGATACTTTGACTAACATTTACTTAGTCATGCAATACTGTACCCAATTTTTTAATTTTTTTTTTATTTTTAGATATATTTTTTAATAGCACTTATGCCGGAGGAGCCGTGTGTGTGTTCCCCATGACTCCGCAAACTGTTTTGTGCTGACACACTTAGGTGGTGGGATGCAAATGCCTTAGCTCTGATATTTGGATACTACCCACAACTATAATGGCATATAGGAAACACCAGGCTAGAGATTGCAAAAAAATGGTACACTGCTCAAACACTTAAAGGAACACTTTTTAGTCAGAGTATAGCATCAAGTAAAATAAACTCCTGGGATATTGATGTGGTCAGTTAAGTAGCAGAGGGAGTTTGTTTAATCAGTTTCAGCTCATTTTCATTTTCATCAAACTATGGGGCATCCTTGCATTCCTAACACATTACCCAGTCCATATCCGTATAGATATCCTCCATATTTTTTCCCCATTTGAGATCTGATGTGTTTTAAAAATGTTCCTTTAAATTGTTTTGAGCAGTGTATATTGTCAAAAAGGTATAATCCTTTAGTTTGCAGCAAAGTAACTGATGTGAATGCTAGGCTTTATTATGGCCATTGATCTAGATCACAGGAAATAAGTTAAATGAACCCAGTATACGTAGCATTAATAAAGAACCGCTTAAATGGCGAGAAGTATGAATGGTAATGGGAAGTTTCCCAGTAACGCTCTGCACAGATGATCAAACGTGTTTGAGTGCACCCTGTGTTCACCCCTCACCTTGGGTAAATGTATATTTTCCTGAAAGGGGTACCCCTGAGAGGAGGTTGTATAGTGCCTGACTTGTAATCTTCAGCTGGCTAACAGTGGGGCCCAATTGGTGTTTTGTGTGGGTGTTTTCTTAAAAAAAAAAAAAAAAAAAAAAAAAAACATTTTGGCCCTTAAATTGACGCATTTTTGGAAAATGAAAGTCAAATTTAATTTCTCAAAGCTGTCACTTCTTACACACCACACTGGCATATTCACAATTGCACCCTTAAACTCATTCTTCTACTTCTGAGTATAGGAATACCACATGAGACTTTCTACAGCCTAGCTATAAATCCAAGAAGTGCTTTCAAGGAGCATAAATTATGCAGCTAACTTGCTGACTACCTTTCACATGTTTGGATGCCCTGGAGCATCAGGACAGTGTAAACGCCCACAAAATGAACACATTGCAGAGAGTAAAAACATCCCAAGGTGTTTTTTCGTTTCCACAAATTTTTGGAAAATGCTTAACAAGTAAATGTCTTTATACACAAAGTTGTCATAGTTTTTTCATACAGTGTGGGCACACTTTGAATTTCACCAACGCATACTGCTACTCCTGAGTTAAAGGATACCATATGTGAGAATATTTCAATGTTTGGCTTAATTATGTAATAACCTTGTATGTTGTAATTCATAAAAATCAACCAACATTTGTTTCAAAAATACTGCAATGCAGTGGTGGTCAGGAAATATTGCTTAATGTAGCGTTGCCTGTTGCACCCAACCTACTGGTGCATGGCTGCCCCTAGGAATGCCATGTTCACTGGCCTGGTAGTACAGGAGGCTTGACAAAGGGTAAACTGTTTTTGTGGTTTCAGGAGTTGCAGTTGTCTCCAGGGGATGGCTGGGACTGGTGTCTCACAGTAAAGTAGTCAGTGGGAAGTGCAGGTGGGTTAGTTCAGATGGCATCCAAAGACATTATCAATAAGCAGGCGGTGGATTGGTCCACACAGATGGCAGGTTAAACAGGCCAGAGTACAGACGTCGGGCAGAGGCCAGTCTTCACTGGTGTGGAGGTGATCGGGAACCCTATTATGGCTGCACTGGTCTTGTGACACTGTACTGATATGGCAGTGATCAAGGACAACAATGTTGATGGCTGTGCTGGCACTGGTGTTGCTAGTGGTCAGGAACATTGTTGCTGGTTGCACTGGTCAGGTGACATTGTGTCACTGGTGTGGCAGCAATCAGGAAAACTGTTGATGGATTACCCTTGAGACTAGTGTGGCAGTGATCAGGGGCACTGTTGGCTGCTCTCGTTTTGGCCACTGGTACTGGTGTGGTGGCAGTTGGCAACACAGTTGCTGGTGTGGGCAGGAATCAGGAACACTGCTACTGGCTTACACTGATCAGGTGACACTTGTACTTGTGTGGTGGTGATCAGGAACACTTGTTGGTTGCACTAGTCTAGTGACACTAGCACTGGTGTGGTGGTGATCAGGGACACTGGCTGGCTGCAATAGTATGCAGTGTTGTCAGAGCAGCCAGCCAATGTCTTTCATCATGAACCACCCCAGTACAGTGATCATGTGTGGTGGTTTGTGCTTGTTTGGCTGTAACGTGCAGCCTTTTAAAAGTGTGACCGCGGTGATTGGTCAGTGATCACATGGTACAAGACCGATTTTCATATCACAAGGCAGATTACCACCCGACAGAACTAAATTTATCTACTAATCTCTGCTTATGGCAGGGTGGTTACACTTGAAATAAGAATCCTTGCAACTAACTGGGGGACCTATAATTTCTAGCAATGTTGAGCAATTTCGTTCTTTACAGGAATTGAACAGGCCAGAGAATGATTATTAACTGTATTCCGGAAGAAGCTCTGCTGGAAATTCTGTCTATGGTCCCTGCCTATGATCTCACTGTGCTCTGTTGCCGGGTATGCACTTTATGGAGGGATATCATTGAGTCACCGGCCTTGTGGAAGAGGAAGTCTCAACGGGATGGATTTGTCTCCAAGCACTGCCACAGAATCCCACCTGATTGGAAGCTGTTCTACCTACTTCATAAGAAAAAGAGGAATTTACTTAAAAAACATCCATGGTCAAGGTTAGTGCTTCACCCACAATCTACTACTGGATCCCTTAATCTTCCTTTGTAGCCTTCTTTGGGGGGGTTGTAATTAACTGGTAACTAGTCCTTCTGGCTAGCACTTAGTTGCTCTTAGTGGTCAATTTGAATACGTGTGAGAAAACTTTGTATTTTTCAGAAGGCTTCAATTACTGGGAAATATCGACAATGAGTATGCATATGTGGAAAATTGAGATTCTCCCAAGAGACTATGGACAGCCTTTTCCAGATGATAAAGTTAAAGAGTGCTTTTTTGTCCCTAATGGGTAAGTATTACTGACCACAGGAGCTATGACTTTGTGTGGGTGTTTGTTTTCTTTGTTTACTCCCACTTAACATATCTGAAGCATGGTTTTTACTCACTGGCAACTGTACCACAACCCCCACAACCCGGAGGCCTGAATCGGGGGATTAGGAGGCGCTTGTAAATCAGACTTGGCAATATCACGCAATGCCAAACTACAGTGCAAAAAAAGCTAACAAATATTATTGTGCATTAAAAAGGGCATACATTTTTAAGAGATGAATTGATAATTCTACTCCTTTACAAAATACTGGTTCAACCTATGCAGTTCCATTTTGCTCACCAATCCTCAGGAAAGACATTCTTTAAACTAGAGTTCAGTGAAGGGCAACAAAAATTATAAGGGGGATGGAGGACCTAGGCTTGAGGACAGATTGCCTAGATATTCAGAGGAGCTTAAGAGGGGAATAATACAACATTTCAAAGGCTGTCCTCTTTCAATCAAGCACCTGCAATATTCTGCATACACCTCCTTTTGGTTCTAGTTTACAGTCCAGGAAGGTACCCATCACCATATGGATATCGCTCTACTAACCCTGGATGAAAGGGGAGATTTGAACCCTAAGCACATTTTGATTTCATTGCAGGAAAAAAAAAAATCTTATGCCAGTACAAATTAGTCGTGGTTTGTTTCCTTCACCCTTGGCTATTTTCCATCAAACTCCTCCCAAGGGTTCAGGAACTCGCCAGTTGTTGGTGAGCAGCCTCCAGAATCGCATACTAAATATGTCCAACAAACCACACAAGGTTCAGCTTTCCTATACCACAAAGATGTAGTATCAAAGGTGACTTCTGTAAATGAAAAACTGTTCATTACGGATCCTGAAGAGGACCCATGCCCACCATTTACAGTTACAGTTAGAAAGGAGGTTTTACCTTGCATAGTGGAAAGGGTTCTTTACTGTTAGGGCAGTAAAATGTGAAATGCCACCAACCCCAAGAAATGGTCCTAGCTAGGAGCAGGGGCGGACTGACCATTCGAACACTCGGGCACTGCCCAAGGGCCCGGGGTCAGTAGGGGGCCCCATGAATTGCCCCTGGTACCTCCTTCCTTTTTTTTTTTTTTTTTTTTTTTTAAATAGGATTTTTTCGGTGTGCTTTGAGTGTGGGAAAGGATACAGGGGCCCCATGATCCCCTATTGCCCAGGGGCCCCATGAGTTGTCAATCCGCCCCTGGCTAGGAGTGTCAATAACTTAAACGGATGCCATCCTCTAGAAGCAGAATATATAAGGCTATGGGAATTCAAATAGACTGAACTGCATGGGATCTGTCCTCCCTTAACAACCTTATTAACTATGGAAGATTAAACCATTCTAAGGGGTCAATTTTGTAGAGCAGGGAATAAAGTCCCTCATGTGGAAATCTCACCAGAGGTGTTTATTCACCTGTAAGGGACCGCCCGGCGACACCACTAGCACTCCACTGATCAGGCGTCCCCAGCGCACGGAGTCTAAGCCCCAGAGTACTTGTTCACCAGGGCCCCTGATGGTGGGGATGGACTTGGAGTACCCCGGGACCAGGTCGTGACTACTGAGGATACCCGTCAGTGGTAGGGGTATTCGCTAGGGGCTCCCACGGGAGAGAGCCTGATATGAGGAGGTCTGGAGACCCTGTTGAGAGGGATGGATGGATGGCTGAGCAAGTGCAAAGTCAGGCAGGCCGGGTCGGTAACTATGGGGACGGTGCGGTACAAAGCAGCGGGCATAGAATAGTCGGGTCACACGCCAGGTCAGCAACAGCAGGTAAGGTCCAATAGGGGGCATCCAGGCGAGAGGTCAGGCAAAGCAAGGGTCTGGGCAGGAGAACACAGCAGGGTCAGGCACTATCCGGGTCAGCAACTTACAAGAAACAGGTTCGCAATACAGGATACAGGATAAGACCAGAAGGCACTGAATGACAGCTCGGGGCCATTTAAATATCCTGCGCTGTCATTTGTGCCAGGCGCGCGCCCGCGGCCTCTACTGCATGAGCTTGATCGCCACGGTCGGCCCGGCCCTAGTGCCAGTGTCCCTGCACAGGGCAGTGCACTGCGCCTGCGCCGAGACCAGCATCGCGGCGATCCCCGACATCACCAGACTTTATGAAAGTCACATGGTTTGCTTTATAAATGGACTCCTAAGTGTTAAGCCCTGAAGAAGGGGGTCAAGACCCAAAATGTGTTGGCTATGTTAGTCAAAGTTTTGTGTGTGTGATATTTTATAAGACCTTTTCTATACAGTGCTACTCGCCACCTTTACAACCATCACAGCCTTGATGGGACCAACCAATCTAGGCTCCATTCCAGAATTGAGCAGTCACAAAGGAAGATTCCCCCTACAAGGTACAGCGCTACCTCATACATCCACATTACTGCCCTAAAAGGTCTGTTTTGTTTTGGTCGTAGAGGAAAACGGCAGGTGATTGACCTGGAGAAGGAGGGATATCCTGAGCAATGGATGGATGTCATGCAACCGGATATAATCGTCAGGGACTGGTGAGCCTTGCTGAGCGTTGTTGGAGGTGGTAATGTTATCGACTAACAAAGGACCCCAAACCTGGTCTTGTGGTTTCATAAAAGGCTACAGATTATTCACCCCTTGTGGTGATCAGAGGATACATTAGACCACTTATGCAGGCAGGATTCCATTAATAGTCCCCATCCGATCCGAAAGAAGGGGAATTGGATCCCAATCCGTCCCTTTTTGGCGGATCAGATGACAGCGGGTGTAAACTGACACGTCTGTATACACCCACCGCTCCATAAAAGAGAATGGAGGTTCTGATCTGAAAAAACGGGCAGGCGGACGCAATCGAAACGTCTGTATGAAAGAGCCCTTAACCTTTTGTGTAGGGATCTGCTGCCTTCTACTGTCTGGCTTTTGATTAACCATTTGCCCTCCAAAAGATTTTACCCCCTCCATGACCAGGGCATTTTTTAGGCTATTTAGTATTGTGCTACTTTAACTGGCAATTGCACAGGTATGGAACCCTGCACCCAAATCAAATTCAATTTTCAATATGTTTCGCACAAATAGAGCTTTCTTTCTGGTATTTGATCACTACTGTTTTGTATTAAAAAAAAAAAAAAAAAAAAAAAAAAGCGAAAAATGTTGGAAATGTATTTGTTTTGGGGGGGATAATGGGTTTTATTACAGAGTAAAAGTGAAATTTCCTCATACAATTAGGCCAAAATGTATTCTGCTACGTGTCTTTGGTTAAAAAAAAAAAAAATCCCAATGGGTGTACTGTATATTTTGGTTTGTGTGCAAGTTATAGCTTTTACAATCTGATGCATGTATGTTCAGTTCTGATGTACTGACAGCCTCATTTTTTTGAGGCCTTTAAATGGCCTCCCAATTACCCCTTTTTTTGGAAAGTAGACAGTCTAAGCTCTTTTAGTAAGAGGCTGGATGATGTACGTACAGTTGCAAGAAAAAGTATGTGAACCCCTTGGGATTACGTGGAGTTTTGCATGAATTGGGCATAAAATGTGCTCTGAACGTCATCTAAGTCACAACAATAGAAGAACACAGTCTGCTGAACATAATACTACACAAACATTAGATGTTGCCATGGTTTAATTGCACAACATCTAATGTTTGTGTAGTATTATGTTCAGCAGACTGTGTTCTTCTATTGTTGTGACTTTGACGTTCAGAGCACATTTTATGCCCAATTCATGCAAAACTCCACATAATCCCAAGGGGTTCACATATTTTTTCTTGCAACTGTATGTGATCAGCTTGCTCATGCTGCCCACCCTCAGTTTAATTGCAGTGGGAGGTCGGCATGTGGCTTATTACCAGAGTTAATTGGTTATAGACAGGTTCTTCCTGACTTTTTCTACCTTGGTCAGAAAACCCTTCTGTACCATATCTTCCTGAACCATCACAACACCCTGCCTTTGTACATTCAGCCCTGATGCAAGCAGTGGGTTGGGTCCTGGGAGGAGTAAGTCAATATCAGAATGCCTTGATGGGTGGCTGTCAGTCTGGAGGAGGGGTACTTCTTAGGTGGGCTGTATTTGCATATTGATGGCCCTATGTAACACCCACATGTGCTGCTAAGCCTTTGAAATCCAAGGAATGAGAGGGTCAGGCCAGGGACAGTTAGGCTGAGGAGGAAAGCGGCTAGTTGATGTTGGATGTCCTACAATCAGGAAATGAGGCAAGATCTATGACTTGCTGCAGATTCCAATGCACATTGTGAGAAGCTCACAGTATGCAGTGAAATCGGAAAGAATTTTCAGTACAGGAGAGGAACCTGTATTAATGTGCAAGACTGAAGGAAAGGCTGGTGTTTAGCTTTAATGTGCAACTGTGTGGGTATTCCCATTATCAGAATGTTCCAGCTTCTTGGTAGTGTTCAGTGATGGTTAGTTCTTTGATTTTTAAACTATTATGAAGGTTAGAAAAATGGGACAAAGTTCAGTGTTTGGGATCCTGATGTACTCCTAAAGGCAAGGTGGGTGGGGTTGCCATGTGCTTCCCCTCATAATATATCCAGAAGCCCTGCATACTGCCCATCATACTTTTTGTGACTTGCATATAGTGCAGTGCTTTAAAAGGTGGTATAAACATAGTAATTTTATAGCCCTACCCTGATAGGAGCCACTGGTTAGGATGGGTCTTTTTTTTTTTTTTTTTTTTTTTTTTTTTTTTTTTTTTTTTTTGCCTTGCCTCCTTAAGAAATTCAAACCCTCTGACACATTGGGATTAGTGTACAAAACATGCAATATCACTGAAACAAATACTTCGTACTCAGTAGTGCTATATCAGAAAACATTCACTGAACCAGTTAGTAAAGGCAAACCTAATGTATGGTCACATATTACGGTGGTAATGAAGCAAGCCCAGAAATTAACAATGGTAATGGCACAAATCGGCATACAGGGTGATTTAGTAATAGACTAGGCATACGCTGGCATCCAGATGAGCATAAATGGTAGCAAAGTCACCTGGAGTCCAGCAGTGAGCAGTAATGAAGTTTGATTTACCAAACACAAGAACTAAAGTGCATTAATAAAGACTGGGCTTGGCCTAGACCGACTGGATGTACACTGCCCAAAGAAATGAAGGAAATGGGAGAGTGGAACAAAGGGGACTTTCAGAGTTTTTTTACGGGAGGGAACTCATATGCTTTTTATCTGCAGGTTATTGTTGGGGCCCTTAAGGAAGCGTTGGTGCACCTAATGACAGTTTTACTAAACCAGGGTGCAGTAAAAAATGCTGCAAAGGTGCATTATACTTGAGTTACTGAAAGCAAAACATTGTCTCTGCTATTAGTATGAATAGGCAGTGCCCTCTCACTAGTCCCTGTGGTGCAGCTGTGAACTCTTACTAGAAAGGAGGGCCCCCTCAGTCTCTCTAAGGAATGCTTCCTGGAGATTCAGCAGAGGATGCTCTGGTCTCCGTGCAGCAATGGTGCAGATGTGATCACTGCAGTCTGTGCTGCCTCAGTCTCCGCTGGTCTGGGCCCTCATCGGTCTGGTCAGTATGCAGAATGTGCTCTCATCTGTTCTCTTGGCAGAAAAGCAGCTCTATTCCTCCTCCTTGCCCCGGTGTCTCTTGAGAATTGTGGTGCAAAGGATCCATAAGTTCCACAAGATGGCTTACTTCCTGGACTTCAAATCCTATGATCCTGGGTGTTCTGCATTGTAATCCATAAGCTTTTCTGGCTATAGACCTCTCTGCTGACTGGAGGCGATAGTACACACAACATCCAGCAGAAAGTGAATGTAAAGTCATTTATAAAGAGAAATGTCTCCTCCTCAATGTTTCTGTAGTCCAGCACCTGGTTCATGCTAATAGATTCCTATAGAGGCACATGGCTAATTGTCAAGCTTGGAGTAGGGGTAAGCTGAGCCAAAATTGCATGGTTCAGTGATGGTGATGATCAAATGGTGATAGTATTGTGGAAAGGCACTACAGTGATGTCACCCAACTATGGAAATGATCAAAGATTAAAATGGCAGAAATCAAGATTTTTCAAGTTACCTTAGATATTCATACATGGCTAAGTATTTATAACCACTGCCTGCAATGAACTGCAGACGGTGTAGGCAAAGCAACGTACCAGTTCAGGATGCAAACCCCCTGGCTGCCACCCGCTGTGATTGTACACAGTGGGAACCTTTCAAAGTCTCAGCCAATGATTTATGGCTGGGACCTGCTGATCAGCTGTGTACAATCACAGCCCAGAGCTCCGTGTTGACAATAGATTTTTACCGGATGTTTTTATAGCCAACAGTAAATAAAATGGTCATCAAATACCACCAAAAATCTATTTGTGGGGGGGGGGGGGGGGGATAGTTTTGGGTACAGTGTTGATGATGGCACAATTACCAGACTAAATAGCATTTTTGCTAAATGCCAAAAAATGGCCTGGTCATGAAGGGGTAAAGTCTTCTGGAGCTGTAGTGGTTAAAGCCCAACTCCAGGAAACTTAAAATTCTAACTTTTCAGTGAAGCTGTAACCTCACAAGGACTACCTGCTAGCTTAGATCTAGGGGCATAAAGATTTACTTACCTGATCCTTCACCTCTAGATTGGTACCTGTAGCATCTCCTCCCCATGCAGCAGTGGTCTAAGGTCCTGACCTCAAGACCAATACTGAGGGACTGTTTTCTGCCAGAGCATGGGGGAGTGCAATGTAACAGAGCAGCGCAGGATTGGGTAAGAAAAATGATTTTACTCTTTCCTAGACCTAAATGAGCAGGTAACCCTTGCAGTGTAGGTGCAGTTTCACTACAAGGATTTTTTTTTTTTTTTTTTTTAATTTTTGTCTGTCCATACCATTGGAAGCATTTCCTTACCTGCTTGATAAATGAAGGGGAGAAACTGTGACATGACAAACTTCAAGGCTCTCCTGTGTCCTCTGCACACTTTTGGTGTTCTCTCAAAGAGCCTATTTATCCCTCCCAGTTCTCCACATAGACTACAAAATAATGATGTCATGCATTGTAGACATCGAAGGGTGGAAGTGATTAAATAGTTAACAAGACACTGGGTGGGGATGAGTCCATGGAGTGTGCAAACCCACAATAGTTTTAAGAGGTGAGTGCATTTTAGGCAGATCATTCTATACTTTGCTGGGTCCTAACCCCCTTCTGTCCAGTCCTGGTCGGTCATTATGCTCAAGGGTTATCAGTGGTCACGTGATCAGGAGTCAGTCCTGCAAGTCCCCAATTAGAGACAAAGCACTGTCTTGATCACTATGGTGGAAGCACACAGTGAGCAGAATCTCAACACTGAAACTCTTCTTCCCATAGACACGTGTGGGTGTTTTAAGGCTTACCTTCTTTGCCACCACACAAATGTTACATAGGCAGCAACAGGGTTAAAGGGATAGAAGATGGGGAAATGTGCATGTAGGTGCTAGGCTATGACCCTTTAGCTCCAAAACTTTTCTCTGCTCTAGATTTGAACTTGCCCAAGTGTATCCCTACCCAATCTGAAACCACCAGGAAGAGGTCACCTGTACTGGGCAAATCATTCAGCAGGGAATGCCTCGGCAACTTATGATTAACCCAATACGGGTGGCAGGCTTGCTCAAGCGGGTTCAGACTAGAATCTGAACACTGAGCTCATCTCCATTCTAGAGCAACCAATTGGCTAATACTCATTTTTCAGTCCCTTCTTCCCTGCAGGTTTGGTTTTTGATCGGTTTCTACAAGCCAACATGGACCGTTCTTAATGCACTTTATTTGTGGCCAATTATCTCTGAGGACCTGTCTACAGTAGGTATGGAAAATGATGCATGTAAATGAATTGTCTGTTTTACTCTCTAGGTATTCCACCAAACCCAACTTTACATCTACGTATTTTGCACATGTGGTGCTGCTTTCCAAGAAGAAAGAAGCTATCCAAGACTTTCTTCCAGGTCTGCAGAGTGACCTCAAGTGGACTCAGGTATTTCCACCCACTTTTGGGCATTTTAACCTTTAAGTGCCTGATATTTGTATCGAACTATAAAGAGCATGTTGTGAGTTAACAAGCTTCGCTTATGAAACCTGAAGATTGTGGAGGTAGGCGAGGAGTGCTGTATGTGAATATAGAGTCTTGAAACTCCATTGGGGTAAAAAATGATAATCACTTTTTTTAGTGTATGACATAAAATGTAGCCAATGCATTTTGGGGGATTGAAGCTTCTCTTTGTAGGGCTTTGGTATGGTTAGAGCTGTTGGTTGTTGAGGACGCTGGTTTCTGCCAAATTGTGGACCCATGGCTGGAAGTTTCATTCCATCTGATATTCTACAAAGCCTAATGGGCACCAAGAACAAATGCAGGGTTTATCAACTCTGGAAATAAATGAAAAGACAGTGGCGATGTGATGGGGGAGAGTAATTTAAAGGAGGTGCAAATCTGAGTCGTACTAGGGGATGCAAAGGAAAACATTTGCTGATTGCTAAAATGGGAGGCAAATTCATTTTGCGTTTGGGGAGAGTAAATCACCTTTAGTACACGGTGGTGTAGAAGTTGTAAGATTTTGGTGCTGTTTGCACTACTTTGGAAGATTAATGGACACTTTATGTAGCACTGCAGGAGATGTTAGTACAGCGATCTGCCTGCTGAGATAGTGTTCTGACAGGGGGACTGGCACCTGCCAGAACATACCTTTTTCAGCTCTCTTGGGCATTGCCTGATCGGATGCTGACCTGCCAGATATTTGATCAGCTTCTGTGCACACAGGCTAAATCACCAGATACTTGGCCCATGTGTATGGGGATTACATCTTTGTATAGAACGGTGTATTACAGAATCTGTCATATGGAGGCAGAGCACAGTAAGTACAGTAATTTTGTCCCATGTTGCGAAATGCTTTTTTCGGCCTCGCGCATACTGCTGCTTCTACAGGTGCGTTTAGGAGGTTTTTTTTTTCCCTCCTTTTTGTGGGACTTTTTGCTTGTGACGGGAGTCACTTTGGGTGGGGGGGGCCCCATGGAACACAGCTCACTTTGGAGAGGTGGGGAGACCCCGTCTCAGCTCCCCATATCCCTATTATGTGTAAGTCACCCTGTGCCTGTTAGGGGTACAGGGTGATCTGCCCTAGTATTGGGGTGGGGGTTGTTGATTGTTTAATGCCATGTGGTTGCCTCCCATTGTTCTATTGTGTCTTGCTTGGGAGCAAACTATTATGGGATGTATTTTTGTGTATTTGTTGCTGGGGGAGGTGTTTCCAGCAGCCTCCCTCCTAATGGGACTTTCTGTTGGTGTCTCTTGTTACTAAAGGTAGATTGCCCTGCCCTGTGTCATTTTGCAAGGAGGGGGGGTTGTTCCCTTGAAATGTATATAGAACTGGGAAGCTGTATTCTAACGGAAGTACCCAAGTGCAGTCTGGGGATGGTTCCATTACAGTGCTACATGCACTTGGTCCCATAAGAGCCAGAAAAGTAAAGTCTCCAAGGGGGTTGGTTTATTTTAAAATGATCAGGCAGCTGATCCTGGAGGCATCCTGAAACTGATGGCCTTTGATGGGCAATCGCACAATCCTAAATGAAACGGTGCCTCCATCTGCAGAAAAATGCAATTCTCAGATGTGTGAACTGAAAAGGTTTGGAAGAAATCTGTGATTTGCCATTGATAAACTGGCTTTTATCAATCGGTCCTAAAGTCCTATATCTTTTATCTGCTAAAGACTGTTAAATTTTAGTAGGAACTGTGCTGCCAGTTTGTAGACTATTTACTCATTTCTTTATTTTATTGAATTGTAGATTGAATACAGATTTAGACACTATGGCCCAGGAGTCCGATACATCCACTTTGAACATGGGGCAGGAGATATGGGGAGACCTAAAGGAGCTCGAGTGACCAACAGCAGCATCACTATTGAGCCGGAAGACCTCAGCACGTAGCACAAGGGGATATACACATTACATGCTATATTGTATGACAACCCTACGCCTTTCGACCTAATTATGTACTATGTATTCCATAACAGTAAAAGTACCTAATTGTTGGCCCACTCATCACTACAGATGTCTTCGATCAAGTCACTGAAAAGAAGAAACTGGACAGTTCTATGTATGTGTTGTGTAGTCCTCCAAAGAACAATGCCAAGTTGTTTGAGTACGTTTTGTATGTATTGTTACAATTCAGTATTCTCTTCTGTGAATTGGACCATGGAATCCTCCTTGGCAGTCTAATGGGTAATTTTCTTCATAATAAAGCTCTCCAATAAAATGAAAAGAATTTGTTAGTACATCTGATTTATGTCCAGCAATATGCACTCAGTAGACTAAATTTTTTTTATTTAATTTTTTGGGTGGGGGACTTAAAAGTCAGATACAACAGCACCAATCTCACCATTTATCTCTGACATGAATCCTGTGTCCTACTGGCTACTCAAAATTGCACTAGCCAACGAGGAGTAGGTTGTTGTATGGGATAGGCAAGGGCAGGAAGGGGGAGGTCGTGTATCTAAGCCTGAGCAGTGGTCTGTCACATTCAAATGACGACTTCTGCAACAGCCAGAGGTTCAGCAGGCAGGTGGACAGGCCATTTTAGTTGTCTCCTTCAGTGGACAGCAAGCTCGGCATACGTGAACCTTTTCCCTACTACCTGCTGCTGCTCCATATTGGCTACATCCTGCCATCACTGGGACTTGTGGTGCTACTTTGATATGGGTGTAATAATGGCACCTCAGGTTCTTGTTTGTGAATTTGTAATTTTCCCCCTCGTGCCTATCGTGTGCTGAACATCCCGTTCCTTCCCAATCCCCATACATGCCCCACACTTTAGATCCTATGTGCGTGACCTTTTGTTCCAGTGATAGTCTTTAAAAGATGATTTTCCCCACTTTAAATAGATCTTAACTTCCCCCTTCTGTTGTCTACATGACCTAAAGTGTAGGGAGATATGAAACTTTAACCCTTTTTCTGCAACAGATGTCGGTTATATGTCCAGCATGTACTGTGACAGACCTAATTGGGATAGAGCCCCCTCTGATGCCAGGGCCATGGTCAGTAGGCAAGAGACTAGCCTGCAGTCCCCTCCAAAAGCCCCTGTCCTCGCTGGGTCTGTCACATGTACTGTTACACCACCCCTTCCTTACTATGCCTGGGACTTCCATTGGCTAGTGTCTGGATGGAGAGCAGTGGGAGATAAAGAAACATCTCTTCAATGGCTTTCCCTGTTAAGAATAAACCAACTTGGATCTCTTCCAATTCACAGCTTTCATTCCCCTGGCCTCTGTGGCTGGAGAAGTAGGTTGTTGAGCTTCAAGAGTACAGAGGTGACATTAGGTGGTCTAATGGATCCAGATCTTTCTAAAGAGAATCTATTACCTGCACTATGCTAACACATAGGATGCTTATTGGCCCCCTTGTGATGGCAAAAAAAGTGATAGTTGGTAAGCTTGAATAAATGCATCAGTTCAGTGTGTGTGTGTGTGTGTGTGTGTGTGTGTGTTGTTCTACCAATTTTCTGTAGCCCAGTAGTTTGCATCTTTTTCTTTTGAACTTATCTACCCTCCCTGCTGATACCACTAACTGTGGAAGGGATTTCCACATCTTTACCCCTCTTAACAGTATAGAATCCCTTGCAGTTTGAGATTGAACCACTACATTACATAGTTTTCTCCCAATTATACTATTGCCATTTAAAAGGAATTTGCAAATTGTTAACATGCAATGATCAGTGATAACATTACTGATTGGTAAAGTGAATACCATTGATTATATAATTACAATGGCCTCTGAAAGTCAGTGCGATAAAGGGGTTGCAAGTTACTATGTTGTCCATGAAGTTGATATGTTGACAGCAGAAAAGTGTGTGTGTGTGTGTGTGTGTGTGTGTGTGCCACAGACCATTCAGGGTGCCAATACTGACTCGTGTCCACAGCCAAACATGCCTACAATAGGTCTATGAGCATCAGAACTGGACCTTGGAGCAATGGAAGAAGAGGGCCTGGTCTGATTTATATTTTCATCCACGCCATGTGGATGGCAGGGTGTTTGTGTGCATTGCTTATTTGGGAAAGGTATGGCACCAGGATGATGCTTTGGGCATTGTTTGGCTGGGAAACCTTGGTCTTGCCATTCATCTGATGTTACTTTTGACATCCCTGCTACCTAAATGTTGCTGACACCTCTTCATGGAAACTGTATTCTCTGACAGTGGCCTCTCTCAGCAAGGTAATGTGCCCTACACTGCAAAAATTTTTTGAGGAAAACTTTTTTAAAAAGTCTCCAGACCTCAATCCATTAAGCATTTGTGGGATGTGCTTGAAAAAGGTCTGATCCATGGAGGCTCCACCCCACAAGTTAAAGGCTCTGCTATTGATAGTTTGGTGCCATACCAAAGTACACCTTCAGAGGACTATTGGCATCCATGCCAGGATGGGTCAGGGCTGTTTTGGTGGCAAAAGGAGGACCTACTCAATGTTAGGTGGGTCATACTAATTTGGTGTATCCCATCTTAAGCATCTCTTCTCCAGGGAGAGTAAGTTTAATTTTGTTCCTCACAACTGAGGTTTTCCAGCCCCCCTTATTAGCTTTATTGCCTTTCTCTGGACTCTTTCCAGTTCAAGCACATCCTTCCTAAGGATGCAACCAAAGGTGGCGGTGGGGGGCGGAGGCTCTGGCAAAGAAGGTTTAAATACAGCAAATCCTCACTCTCAATCTCAAAGCAATTGCTCCTCTGTAATTGACTAGTCAGCTGAGACAATGACAGGTCCTTGTTAACCACTTGCCCTCCTGAGGATTTATGGCCTTCCTGAGCAGGCCATTTCTTGTGCTACAGCGCTGCATTGCTTTAACTGACAATTGCACAGTCATACAACACTGCACCCAAATTAAATTTACGTCTTTCCCCACAAATTGAACTTTCTTTTGGTGGTATTTGATTGCCTATGCATTTTGAGAAACAATATTTTTGACTTTTTGCCATTAAGATGTCCAGTAAAAAAATTTAAATCAAATTTCATCATCAATTTATGCCAAAATGTATTCTGTGACATGTTTTTGCTGAAAAAAAAAAAAATCCCAGTACATGTAAAGTAATTGGTTTACGTGAAAGTTATAGCATTCACAATTGGCGGTATATATACTGGGATTTTTTTATTTTTTACTAGTAATGGCGACGATCAGTGACTTATAGCGGGACTGTGGCGGACATTCTGACACTGGGAGGGAATTGACTTGATGTCACTGACATCCCCAGTTACACCAATACAGTGATCAGTGCTAATAAAAAGCACTGACACTGTACTAATGGCACTTGGCAGGAAGGGGTTAACATGAGGGGTGATCAAAGGGTTAACTGTGTGCAGGGAGTGTTTTACTAGAGGGTGGTGTCTGTGTGCTTCACTGTAATCACATTGCTTTGGATGGCTGTGCTGTGCATACACATGTGTGATTTTTGCGCACCCGTGCTGCCCCGTAGCAGTATTTCTAATACAGGGCGATCGGGAAGTGGTTAAAAGAGAAGTTACCCTTCCAGCATATGTTACAAGTTTGTCGTGCCCTCTAGTGCAAAAGGTTGTTTTTGGTTTTTTTTGTGAGCTTAGAGGCTTGTTAGCCTGGGATGGGTGAGGTAGCGAATTCACCTCAGGACATGCTGGGAGGATGTACAGATTGTCTTTTGGAGCCCTCCCACCCTTTCAGAAACTGTTGGAACTTTCTGGAAGAGGGGAGGAGGCCTGGATTTGCATGTTTAAGGGAACTTGGCCAATCCCAAGGCAGAAGACCAGGCATGGTGGCCAAGGGCATCCTTTAAATATGACAGAGCCTGTGCATCAGAGGAGTTGGGTGGAAGATGGACTGGTGTTGGAGTGAGTAGGCTGGGGGGGGGGTCCCAGAGAGAGGAGCCTACCTACAGGCTGGATGCTGGACAGAAGGGTCTTCTAGGGAGGGAAGTCCTGTCAGCAGTGAAGGAGCCAAGCAGACCGGACAATGTGAGTACTCCTACACCCCCTGGGCAAGATAAAGGGAGACGGTGGTCAGGTGCAAGACCCAAATAGTTCTCATCTGGGACTACTTAACTGGCAGATCTTGGAATCTCTTGCCCAGCGATACCCAAAGTGCAGCTGGGTGAAGGAGGAAAGATTCATCTGGGGAGGTACATCAAGGGGACTTCAATGCTCCTTAAAGAGACAGTGCCATTTTTGCTAAGACGTTTGTTTTCAAGTTTTCTGTTCCTTGGGCATCCTATATACCCCTTGACCCCATTCAAGTTGTTAACCACTCAATAAAAACACAAACAAAAGCTCAAGGTCTGAAGATGCGGAAAATGTATGTTGCCTGGCTGTGTAACGCTTAGGGGGGACCCAATCCAACTCAGCGGTTCCATTTTTAGTGTGAAACATGAAACTTGTTCCCACTGCTGAAGGTCTCCCCCCGATTCCCCCACCTGTGACAGCAGGCCAGGGATCTGCACCCTGCACCTATTTTCACAACTTGAAAAGAACGTGGCTTTGCAGGGTCCCACCCACATGGCCACGTCATTCAGCCACAGACTTCTGTGAATTTATAGACTACAAGTATCGGCAGACTTTGCAGCTGATGGCTTGTAGTTCTCAATGAACCACCAGGGTGCTGATGAGCATCCTTGTTCATTGATACCTTCTGGACTGAAGTAATTGCGTGCCAGTATGAGGTGCGGGCAGGCAACTAACCAGGAAGTCTGCAGGAGCCTGAGATTGCACCCATAATCTTCTGATTGCGGATGCAGTGATATACAGGTGCCTAAGAAAAAAAATAGTAAGTGAACATTTCTTTACCAGCAAAGAAATGTATGTATTATTTTTTTTTTTTTAAGGGTGAACTTTTGCTTTAACCACTTCCCATCTGGGCCATGTAGATAAATGGCTGGGTGTGAGCGCTGCCGATGCAGGTGGACGTCTCTAAAAGTCCCCCCCCCCCCCCGCATCCATTGCCTGTGTGCGCTCTGTAATCAGTGCCTGCTGTGTCACTGTACAGGATCTCTGTGTGAGGTCCTGATTCATGCGATCACTGATTGACCAATCAGTGATCACATGCAGAGTAGTAAGCAAGATGTCACTTTCTGACATCATTGCTTACTACTTGTGAAATCTGTGAATGATCACAGAGGTCACATGGTACAAAGCTATTCACAGCAGCCTTGTACCATGTGACAAGCTGTGACCAATCACAGCTCACACAGTATTTCTTAATGGCTGCAAGAATGCAGCCAGAGAGAAAGAGAAATGATTGCTTTTACAGCCTTTATGGGTGTAAAAGCAATCCGTGTAAAAAAAGAAAAAAATCTTCATCACCCCCCACAAGTAGTACTTTGTCACTATGGTGACACTGTACTGCTAGGGTGACAGTATGTTAAAAAAAAAAAACAAAAACATAAATATTAATATAAACAAAATAAAATAAAAATAAGAAAAACACTTTTTTTTCAAAATGTTTGGACTTTTTCATTTATATATCAAAAAAATAAAAATCCCAGTGGTGAATAAATACCACCAAAATAAAGTTTTATCTGTCTCAAAAAAATGCTAAAAAATTCACATGGGTACAGTGTTGTATGAGCGCGCAATTGTCATTCAAAGTGTGATAGCGCTGAAAGCTGAAAATTGGCCTGGACTCGAAGGGGGTGAAAGTTTCCGGACTTGAAGTGGTTAAGCTTCTCTGCTTCCTCCTCTGAGGCCAGTTGCTGCTCGCTGTCTGTCATCTTGGACCAGGAGAATCCCTTCTGATCGCTGGGAAATCCATCGGACACATACAGGCATCATCAAGAGTGTTGAGAGAAAGTAGTTGTTGTGTGACCTTAAGCTGGTCATAGATGGATCGTCAACCCCCCCCCCCCCTCCTATCCACAGTCTCGTTCCAACTCCGCTCGAACGAGAACAGCCATAGATGGATCGAAACTCGGTTAGTTCCTGCTGAACTGGCTGAGGTTCAATTATCCATCGATGGCCAGCTTTACACCAGCACCAGACCAATGATCCCATCCGATTCTTCGCCACCATCCTCCTCTACGTCATTTCTGCAGAGTTCTCTCTCAATCCTGTGATGCAGAAGTGTGAAAGTGAAACTTGAGCATAAATCCCTCCTTGGGAAGAGACGACTTCCTCCTGTCTGTGAGCAGATCTACTACGAGGACAATCTACTTTCAGAATGAAAAGGCAAGGGGCCCTGCATCTCCGTTTTGTGCCTTTGGGGTTGAGGGGACAGCGCCGTCAGTCTTGTCACTTGCTAAGAGGCTGCAAGAAAACACAGACTGAGCCTTTCACCGATGTCTGCCATTCACCCCCTCCAAGCTTTTCTTTCTGCTTCCTAATTACACACTAGGATCACTCAGAATCCGGTGCAGCTGAGCATGGTATCAATCAGCTTCTACTGCCGGCGATTTTTTGGCCGAAAATTGGACCTAAGAATAATCGGCTGATTTTAGCTCTGTTAGTGGGTCAATGGCACCGTATGATTTTCGTGGTTCCTCCCCTTTTCGGTGTTCGGGCACGTTGGAAAATTCGTTAAAGATTTTCGACTTAATGATGGTCAAATCGTACGATCGTTTTTTCCGAAAAGAATATGCGCAAGAGCCGTGACCTGGAAGGAACAGAAGCTTTGCCTGTTTTATGGGGTGAACTTTATGACTTGGTCGATTTTTCGAAATCATTGATGGCACCATCGGATTACAGAGCGAACAAAATTTTCAACAAAAAATTGTTCGGAATTTGACCCATGTATGGACTGCATAAGATCAGCTTGTTCAATGAAGCTTTGACATCAACACCTGGAAGCTGATTGGTTTCTATACAAAGCTGCACCGGATTTGGTACTCTCCGGTTTTAGTATGTCAACCCCAGTGTTGATGTTTGAGCAAATTGCCCATAGCTTAGGGTTGCCACCTCACCCCTTTAAGCCCTTATGCACACTTGATGTTTTAGTACCGTTAGTTGTGTAAAGTCACGTTAAAAACGTGAGTTTTTCAGCCTTTTTTAGTGTTTTTTGCATTAGCATTTTGCCACGATGTCAGGAATGGACTCACCAATGGTGGTGGGACTCATCTGCCATGTGGGCTGCAGTACCAGGGCTGGCCAGCGGGTACTCTCAGCAACCAGAATCTCACTCCTGCAGTCAGCCATCACCTGAGGCTGATTGCAGGAGGTGTATTTAAGGAATAGCCAGACCTGCAGTCAGTGCCTTGGTGTATGTTTCCCATGAGCCCCTGTACCTGCATCCTATCTGCTTCCTTCCTGATCCTGACTCTGCTTTGATCCTGACTCTGAATGAACTCCGCCTGTCCTGACCCCGGCTATTCGTGACCACTCTCCAGCCTGCTCCTTTGGTTCCTTGTCTGCCTGATTGTTCCTGACCCGGCCCGTCTGACTATGCTCTGCCTGCTCCTTTGTGTCTTGTCTGCTCGATGGTTCCTGACCCGGCCTGCCTGACCAATCCACCTCACCAGCCCTGACTGCTCTTGTCTGTGTACATTCCGATATCAGTTGGAGGTTTGGTTTTGTTATATTGTGCGTTTTATATTTGTGTATAACCTTTAATAAATTATATTGTTAAACCATACTTGAGCCTGCATTTCCCCTGTGTCAGTTCACACATCTCTGGTCTTACCTGGAGCCCTGACACATGATTAGCGTTTTACCGTGTTTTTCCGCATTTTTTTTTTACAAAAAAAAAAAGTCCAAAAACGCCGGTTTGCAGTGTTTTACTGCGTTTTTCAGCATTAGAGTGTTTTTACAGCTATAAAACTCCTCTAGAAACCCACTAGTTTTGGGGGTTTTTTTCCTGCCAAAAAACGTCCCAGCCAAAAAGCATTGAATACGGCCTATATGTGCATGGACACATAGGATAACATGCTGGAGAGTTTATCGACTGTAAAAAAAAAAAACGTCAAACGCCAAAAACAGCCGCTGTAAAAACACCAAGTGTGCATGAGGACTAAAACTGAACACATATTAATTAGACATGTTCTGAGGCTTGCCCTCCTGAGGATGTACCCCCCTTCCTGACCAGGCCATTTTTTTGCTTTATGGCTTTGTGTTATTTTAACTGACAATTGCGCGGTCATGCAACGCTACACCAAACTTAAATTTACATCCTTTTTTTTCCCCATGAATAGAGCTTTCTTTTGGTGGTATTTGATCACTTTTACATTTTTTATTTTTTAAGTTATAAAAAAAAGACTGACAAATTTGATTAAAAAAAACAATATTTTTGACTTTTTTCTATTAAACATGTCCAGTAAAAATATAAAAAAAATCAAATTTCGGCCAATTTAGGCCAAAATGTATTCTGCTACATGTCTTTGCTAAAAAAAATCCCAGTACGTGTAAATGAATTGATTTACATGAAAGTTATAGCTTTTACAAATGGCGGTATATATACTGTAATTTTATTTTTTTTTTATTTTTAGTAGTAATGTCGGTGATCAGCGACTTCTAGCAGGACTGCGGGACTGCTGCAGGCAATTCTGACACTGGGGGGAACTGACTTGGTGTCACTGACATCCCAGTGACACCAATACAGTAATTGTGTGCTAATAAAAAGCACTGACATTGTACTAATGGCACTGGGCAGGAAGGGGTTAACATGTGGGGGCAATCAAAGGGTTAACTGTGTGCTGTTTTACTATGTGGGCTGGCCAATGGCTTTGAGTATGTGAGTAGATGGGATCCAATTAAGATCCAGCTTCTACTGATTGGCAGAGGGTGCAGTGTTTTATGATCTGGGGTTCCCTGACTTCTTTGATGTCATTGTCCACATACGGAAACAATTGAGTACTGTCCGTGATCAAAGGGATAACTGTTGCTGTTTTATATTGGGCTGGCAATAAGCTTTGAGTATGTGAGTAGATGGGATCCAATTAAGATCCAGCTTCTACTGATTGGCAGAGGTGCAGTGTTTTATGATCTTGGGTTCCCTGACTTCTTTGATGTCATTGTCCACATACGGAAACAATTGAGTATGTCCGTGATACCCTAACATACTTTTTCAGCACAAGCTTTCGGGGTATATCCCCTTCTTTAAGGTCCAAGCAGTACTTTGTTATACGGAAGTACTATACTAATTATTTAAAGCTCAACACCAGGAATCCACTCTTGCAGCAGGGCCATATCTAGCCTGTCAAATGTGGGGGTGCAGTAAAAAAATGTAAGGGGGGGGCAGAGGATCAGAGGTAAACAGGGGAGAGGACAGGGGTCAATGCTGGCAGGGCAAAAGACGGGCACAGCTCCTTCTCCCATACAATGCACAGGGCAGTATAGTGGCAGGTTAGAGTAGTATAGTGGCAATATAATGGCAGGTTAAGGTTGGCTTTGGGGGGGCACAACTAAAATCTGGAGGGGCATAGCCCGCCCAAGCACCCCCCTAGATCCAGCCATGTCTTGCAGTAGGCTTCCCCCTGACCTACAAGGGTTACATACTTCTTAAGTCTAGGGGTACAGTAATGGGTACTCTTGCCTACCTATCCCCCACTCTGACCCTCTTCTATTCAAAGCTCCGGTCTGTGAGTGGTCTCCCAATATGATTACATGGAGTGCATGGCTATTAACCCTGCACTGTACGTGGAGAATGCAAGCAACAATGGCCATGAACAGCTTAAAGAGGAAGGTGAAGGAAATGGAATAAGGTATTTATCCTCATTCCGGCATCCCGGGGCATAATGAGCTTTTAACCATTGCTATGTGTGTGCATGGGGGGGGGGGGGGGGGGGGGAAACCACTGTAAGGTTTTTTTTATATTGTGTCCAGAGTTGTCACTAGGCCATTTTAATAAAAATCCTCTCAGAAGGTTATATGTACACTTAACGTACATTTTGCATGTTTAACTGTAAAAGCCTCCAAAAGGCATGATGTCAGCAGCCCCAGCAGACTCAGTTGTAGCTCAAATAAAACCTCATAGCATCCCCCTTTAGCCTCTCACTGACAGCAACATAAAAGGTTATGTAGGGAGGGGGGGGTGGAGGTGTAGAGAGTAAATAGACATTTGTGGGGAGGTGCAGCGTGGTGCGGAAACAGTAAACACTTACATTCCTGGGAGCCAAAGCTTTCAATAGGTTCTTCCTGACCCAAGATGGCTGCCAGAGTCACATGGGGTGGCAGCATCCCAGCTTCCCCAGTAACCCAGGAAACCAGAGAGGAACCATGTTCTTCTTGACTTTCCTCCCACTGCAATGCCACTATGGTTGAGAGCCATCTACAGTAGAGAAAATAGACTGCACCTGCCTACATGCCCCCAGAAGAGAGGGCTAGTGAAATTTACTAGCAAGTACAGAGGTTCATCGCAGTAAAAAATTATTTATGGAAGGATTGTAAGCTCTCCTTATAATCTCTTAAACTTTTTGTATTGAATTGTATTGTAACTGTACTGTACCCTTTATTTTGTAAAGCACTCAATAAAAGTTCCTCTGCTTGGGTACAGCAATCATTCACGAGGAGACATCCAAATATCTGTACAGCTAAGCTAGCACCTTATCAGACTGCCGACTACTATGTGTAGGTGGTCAGTCACGGTGTCCAAAAATGTCATATAAGCAGGAGCTCTATAGGGATGAATTATAATTATCAACTGCCACTCTGACCATCAGAGTTTCAGTAAATAAAAGGTAATATAGGCCCCTTGCCACCTGATGGGGGGCCCTGTCATTTTAGTTATGCCACACAGGGGTAGCATGGAGTTAAACCAAATTGTGACTTTTACATGGTTTTATGAGTCTCCAGGAGTATGTCATTATAATTTGTTTTTTAGTCTTTTCAAGAATGGGACAGGGCATCAGAATGCAAGGACAGGAATGATCATTAACGGTATTCCGGAGGATGCCCTTCTGGAAATTCTGTCCAAGGTACCTGTCTGTGATCTCATCCTGCACTGTCGGCTAGTCTGCACTCTATGGAGGGATATTATTAACTTACCGGCCATGTGGAAGAGAAAGTCCCAACAGGACGGACTTGTCTCCAAGCAGTGCCAAAAAATTCCACCTGACTGGAAGATGTTCTACTTCCTCCACAAGAAAAAAAAGGAATTTACTTAAAAACCCCTGTGCTGTAGGTATGAGTTCTTCATTCACAATCTTCTACTGGACCCCTTTATCCTCCTGGGTGGGTCTTCTGCTGGTCTCTAATCCTCTTGGGTGGGCCATCAGCTGGTTACTAATCCTCCTGTGTGGGTTTTCCACTGATTTCTAAACTCTCTGAGGAGGCCTTTGGCTGGTCCTTAAATTATCCTGGGTAATCCCTCATCTGGTCCCTAATCCTTCTGGGTGGGTCCTAATTTACTCTGCGTGGTTAACTTGAATGTATGTAGGCTGAAGGAAACATTTTATATTTTACCAGAAGGCTGCAAGCACTGGAAACTCGAGGAAACCCGTGAGGATCGCTGGTTGGTTGAGAAGTTCCGAAAAGACCATGGCCAGCCATTTCCAGATGAAAATGTTAAATATTCCTTTACTACTGCGAGCAGGTATCTAATACTTTTTTTTTGCCTAAAAGGATCCATAAGTCACGTAGTAGTGTTTTTTGCCAAACAACCGCTGTAAGAAAATTAATGACAGGATAAACCACGTAGAAAGCATGTTGTTTTTACATAACCATTGACAGAATAGAACGGAGAACAGTAAAGCACACTTGCTATCTAACTGGATCCAAAGCCTGCATTTTTATTAAGAAAATAAAATGCGGTTTTGTACAGCTAAAATTTCAAAATAATTTTGTTTTATTTGAAACTGGCATGATTGATGGTCATGTTTGTAGATTTAAAAAAAAGTATATTTTTTTTGTAGTTTAGGTTTTGTCTTAGATTGAAATTTCTAAAAGCTCAGCCCTAAAGAAGGGGTCAAACCCTGCAAGATGTTGGCTGTTATGTACACATGTATACAAACCATCTCAAGCATTGTGGATGAACCAGGGGAGGACTGACCATTTGAGCACTCGGGCACTGCCAGAGGGCCCGGGGTCAGTAGGGGGCCCCATGAGATACCCCTGGTACCTTTCATAGGCTTTTTTGGGTGTGGTTTGAGTGTGAGCGAGGACACAGGGGTCCCATGATCTCTTATTGCCCAGGGGCCCCATGAGTTGTCAGTCCACCCCTGGGATGAACTGAAGTTTATGAGACTTTTGTATATGGTGCTATTCATCCGCCCTTACAACCATCACAGCTTTGAAGGGACCAACCACTCTCTAGGGTCGCTCTAAGTATTGAGCAGCCACCCTCTCCTACAAGATCCAGCTCTACCTAACATCTTTAGATGGTCAACCTGAAATTAATTTTTGTTTCTTTTTAGATGTTGCCTAAAAAGCCAGTTAATTGACCTGGAGAAGGAGGGGTATCCTGAGCAATGGATGGATGTCATGCAACCGAATATAGTCGTCAGTGACTGGTGAGAGTTACTGAGTGCAGGGGGAGGCAGTAATATTGTCAGTTCACAGAGGAACCCATATGTGCCTTTGGGCTTTCATGTCATTTGGTTATCACTTGTGGTGATCAGAGATTACAATAAAACATTTATACAGATAGGATTCCACTAATGTTTTTTATTTTTTTATTCTAATCAGATCATGGGGTATGTTTCTTAATTGTCGTAGTTTTTTTTTTTTTTAATTTTTTTTATTTTAAGGTATATCTAAAGTCAAAATATTTTTGTAGTTTTAGGTGGAGTGGTAAGAGAATAAAACCTTTGTGAAATAAGTACAGGGGAATTATATAAGGAGGTGTGATCCATAAGTATAAGAATGTACCACTACTGGGTATACATGCTTCGACTGCATACCATGAGGTTTTTGGAGGCTAGGCAAAGAGATACTGTAAGGCAGCCCATAGATGACTCAATTTACTCCCCTTCCACCATGGATTCCTTCAGCACTATTGTGTTCTGCCAGCAGGGGGAATGGGGAGCCTTCCTGGGAAAGGGGGGAGGGGGGGCAGTAATCACATGTAGAAAAATCGAACAGGCTGGTTGTACCCAAGTTGATTAATGGATTGACTTGGGTACAACCAGCCGGCCCATACACGGATCAAATCTTGGCCAGTCTGACCTGGCCGAATTTCGATCCATGTATGACCCAATTTGAGTTCTATAGGTGGACTGTAAGCTGTATAGTGGGATCCACAAGTTTATTTTTTTTTTTTTTTTGGTGGGGGTTAGGATGTTGTTGTTGTTTATATGGTATAATATGAAGCTAAATTTACTGATATATTGTTTGTATGCTTAAAGCAGTGTTTCTCAACTCCAGTCCTCATGGACCCCCAACAGGTCATGTTTTCAGGATTTCCCTCAGATGAAACAGCTGTGGTAATTACTAAGGCAGTGAAACTGATCAAATCACCTGTGCATAATAATGGAAATCCTGAAAACATGACCTGTTGGGGGTCCATGAGGACTGGAGTTGAGAAACACTGGCTTAAAGGATAAGTTCACCTTTGGGAATATGTTACATGTTCCAATCTTTTTTAGGGTGGAACGTGTAACATGTTCCAATGTTGCCATCATTGCCCACTACACCCCTCCCCCTTTGACAGAAGTATGGGGAGAAGTTCTGCTATCTGTCAGATTTAAAAACAGCGCGGCCATTGGGGGCTCTCCCCACACAGCCGCATCATTTATACATGGAGGGGGGAGTTCTGTGAATAAATGAAC